TAAGTATAGTTGCAACGCCAATATATGTACACTACCTTAATATATTTGATGAATCGATTTGTCTAATTTCCACAGTTTTTGTGTTTATTTTTATCGTTTTTATCTGCTTTTGTGGATGAACTTTCATGTGATAACTATATGGTAAGTGATAGAAACTCATGCTCATCTCAGTGAATGATTCGAAGCTCAATCTGGATTTTCTACTTACCGAAAGTTCATAATACGATCGGTTTCCTGTCAGCAAATTTCAGTTTAAATCTCAGAGTTATTTGAATGTTTTTTTTAAATGAAATAAATTGTACTACTGAGACTAATTGGTCATCTTATTACCCTTAAGTTTCGTGATTTGTATTTTTTTTTCAGAGTCGAAGCGTTGCTTTGGTTTTGTTTTTCATTGTATTTTTAAATGAAATATTAGTTTCTCTGACTGATCTACGTTTGCGAATATTTATGTATGTGGGCTAAAATGTTTCCGATGTATATATTTGGTTTTAGGTTATGTCATTGTTTAGTGCATAATTATCCGTGTATATTGCTATTATCAACATACGCACATTCTCTGTAGAAATTACTTTCTATAACAGGCCAATAAATAGTAGTTGTATATCAAACATCCAAAGTTTCTTCAGCAAGTTCACGTCTTTGTTTCGTTGTCTGATATACCATCAATTATGACTACCTCTGTTGTATGGTTTTTTTACAGACTGTTAGAACTAAATTTTCTTTCAAATGGTCATGTCTTTTTTTTCGAGATTTCGCCATAAGTTGAATAAACACGATCCCACAGGAATATGTTACATGATTTTAATACTCAGTGCGAATCGACTAATTAAAATGTAGCAGTTAAAGTGACCGAGAAGAATCTGTCTCACTAAATATGAGAATAGAATGCATAGATGGTTTAGAATTAATTTGCAATCTAAGTCTTTGCTAAAATGTATTTATTTAAGTGCTTCCCATGTTTGCATTAACTATTAAATCGAAAATATCATTCATAGATTAACTTAAATTGTAACAATTATAAAGTCGCACGAAGTACTCGTTTAGTATTCAGTAAATATGAAATCTCAATTATCATAAAAGAAAGTTACTGTTTCATTGAGGAAAAATTACAGACAGTTCAAGAAAGAAATTTCCATTTTCGACAATGTCATTTACTCAAATTACAAACGTATTCTTTGTTAACTTTTAATGTTCGCACCTTGTGTCAGACAGGAACACTGGCTTCCTTAGCAGGACAAAAGAATCTCGCGTCATCGATGTATGCTACGTCTTCAAAACGCGTGTACAGAATTCAATTACGGTCACTCATTTGATTTCACCATGTCAGTATAAAGGACCGGGACAATATACTCTACACGTATCTAAAGACCCTACTGCTACTTCACGTGACATCGTTGGTATAGATATAGAATTAAGTTCAAAAGCAAAACAGGCTCTCCTAGAGTGAACGGGACAGTAAGAACTCGGAAAAATGAGAATACGTGACGTTACCTGTTCGCTTTTTCTGCCTTCTCTACCGCTGTTTGCAGCTTGAACAAAGTTAAAGATGAACTTTATGGGAAGCTATCCAGCCTCTTTCAAAAAGCTGAACGCTTCGATGTAGTGTTAGTGATAGGTGATTTTAATACTCAGGTAGGTAAACTAAACCCATGTGAATGGCATTTAGGCTGTTCTGACGGTGTTGCAACTTTGAACAGTTAATGTTGGCCGTCTCTTGCGACAGTGGACAACTGTTTAGACCTATCAAGCAAACGGGTCTTTATTGTTACTACACCCATGTTTTTGACATTCTTTATCTTCCTCATACCTCGTAAATGGATAATTTCTCAAACATTTGTTTTCATCTTACGCAACTGTGTTTTGATGATTGAATTGATCTGTTTATATTTTCGACCAAAGGGTAAGCGGCGTAAACCAATGAATTATCACTTAGGCGTACGAGATAACATGATTAGTAAGAGTGACAATTTGTCGCAGAATTCGAAAAATCCCATTATTTTTTTGAAAGTAAACTTTTCATTAGACGTTTCAAATACCACCATTTCTGTTGATCTTAGAGCAAGGGGATAGGTGGTAAATCGAACATACTTCACATGATTAAAGATGTTATTCTGTTTCTTAAAGTTCACTTTTATTTATATACGCCCTTTTTAATAGTCTTCTTTTTTGCTCGCGCTCTTATCTGTATGAACCATTACTTCGCTATTGAAAACCTAAAGTTGGTAGTGAGTTACATCAACATTAAAAATGAATTATATCAAGCTCTATATCAACAACTGGCATAGTCGGAAGTGCGATTTAACGACAAATAACTCATCGCAATGTTACCGAAAATGAGTTTTACCGGTCCATAGAATTTCCAAGCAAAAGAATAATCGTTCTACACACAATCTTAAAATATTGGATATTACTCCTTAAAATAAGTATAAGTTGTCTGGTTACCTCTTCACAGTATTCACAAATAACTTGTTTACTTGCAAAAATCTGCTGCAACATCCACACATAAATTTGACTTAGTGTAAGAGGATTAAGTCTCTAATTTTTGACTGGAATGAACTGTCCGTACAGATGGTTCTAAAAAGAGACTGATATGGAGTAACGTATTGCTGTTGTAAGCTATAATAAAATACGATGGAAGATTTTGCTTTTCTAAGCACATGGGAGAAACATTTTGAGCATGAATATTTCAAATACATAGTGGTAAACGTATATTGGACTGTGTTCTTTTGGTTTTTGGATATCATTTGCTGTTCAATCAGTGACTAAATTCTCAGATCACATGATTATTTTGCACCAACCTTACTGATAGAACGGAGGCCTTAGGACGTAAAATTCTAGCTACACTGAACTTTCATCGATACTCGAAAATAAATAAGAAGGTTATGACTCAAAAGCTCTCGAACGTTAATATATAAGTACGAATATTTTCCAAAATGCTTAATGATGAAAATGAAACAGGTAAGAAGGAGTTAGCTTAAAAAGTGAGATGCACTCTGATACGTGTTGCAAAAAACTCAAGTTATTTCAAAATTAAATTACACGATTCACCATGTGTACGATAGTGAGAACATAGCTACATACATGTATTGTATGAAGATGATTGATTATGTGGTCTGTCATAGTTTTACTTTTCTACGGCACAGAAAACAGTTTTACTTACCTTAATGAAGGAGTTTATTTCCGTGCAATCTTAGAACTACACTGGATAATCCTCAGAATGATAAACTTTATCTTTATCACTCCACTAGCATTGATACGCACACTACATTTTCTACTACACCACATCGTTTATTTGTAAAACCATGTTGTTTTTTAAGTCGATTTATGAAATTGGAGGTAAAGCTATACTAAGGACGACGCACATACAACAGAAATAAAAGAACGGTTTCGGCTAATTTATAGCTCATTACTAAATACACAAGGAATGTTGGGATCAACATTTCAACATATAGGTAAAGTTCCCATAAAGGAGTGCAGAGAAAATATTCGGTAAGTAGTCACTACAGACGAGATACGTTTTTTTCTTTTCTCCCAGTAAGCACTAAATTGAAGTCAATGAAATTGACCATGAAGATTCAACATTGTTTGAACAAACTTACTTTCCATCTATGATGAGCACATTTATTTTTCCGTTAAGTCGTGCTCCAGATGTATTCACTTTCTATTGTTCACGTCCATCATTGAAATGTAACTTTATGAATAGTATGTATATGAGGAACAAGGTTTAAGGAGAGTTATTATCCCTGTAAGTTTATTGAGAAAAATTTATAACAAGTTATGGATTTTAGTATCTGTAAATGGTAATAAGAATGCTTCTAAGAAAGACTTTGTAGCCTCCACTGTTTTCACATAAGAAACGAATGTCAAAAACCAAGCTAAAAAACATGACATCGCTCTTGAGGACATCCAAAGTAAACAAACAGAAAAAATGAATATATCTCGTTTTTCGCAAGATGGAACAAAACACAACGGAACACTTGTTTTTACAGAAATGATCTTGTGCCAATTGCAGATACTTGGAAAGGAATCAAACATTAAATTCATTTAGTAGTTTTCATCCGTTGTGACATTTCTAATATTTGGATATTAGTGATTCCGATACTAACTATTCAGGTGCGTTTTTTCAAACTAACTTATGATAATTAGTCTATGAAAAATAAATTCAGCACGTAGGTTCATTTGCACTGAATTTTTTCTGTCATATAGTTACATACCTGTTCGTGCTTTTTCTCTGTCGTCCAAGAGAATCTGCGGTTAATAAAATTAAATTGCATTGCGATTAGTCAGAAAAACGAAATGGCACTCAAATCTTTTTTTAGGAATTAGGTCCCTGTTGAAAAATCTATCATCAAGCCGCAATCACAATCCATGAAGAAAAATTGTTACATTTGGTCAAATATTGATAAAACCACATCACATTCGGCTCACAAACTCGTTTATAAATTCAGCATTTTAAAATAGATAAAATGGTCTCCAATGATCTAGATTTTCAGAATCAAGACTAAATATGTATAACTTCTGATTTCCTACCGTAAACCATACGTATTCCAGATGTTTCATCATCCAATTACAACTTTAAATTTCATGGCTATGAATATGTGAGGAGAGATTTCTTGTGAAACTAAAACGAAGCTAAGTAATGATTTTCAATCATTCAAACAAATAACTTGCTCGTAGTTTGTAAGTTCTCCAAATGACGAAAATCCATAAACAAAATAATGGGCATTTCTCTTCAGTAAGCTAATTTCAACTGATTTATTACAGGCCTAAATCGATTGTTACATTTTCTCGTCATTACTATCATTAAAGCATTAAAAATTTTGACAGATATTAAACGAAGAAAATAGATAATTTGGTTTATTGGATAGAAATAACTGTCAACTTCTTAAAATCTTATCCGTGATATTTCTCGATTAATCTAAGTAACGATGAGTAAATTAGGTCTACAGCATTTGTACTCCAGAAGTAGCCTAAATGATTATAATTTTCAATATAGTTCACAGAGATGATAGTTTTGTTAATCCTTTGTATAAGTAAATCTATGCTTTCGTTTGTACATAAATGATCATTTCCGCCATGATAAATGACTGTTGGAATGTTGAAGTTTTTCAAAGTGTATGAAGGAGGATCATCTTGACCATAAATATGTCTATTCATGTACTGTCCGTAGTCAAATTTCTGTAGCAGATGACTGTCAATCATCTACAAAAAAATATCGGGAAAAAAATTTCTCACTGTTTAATAAATTAGTTCATGGTATTTAAGAAACTATTTATTAAGTGGTTAAAGAAATATCGCTTCCCTATGCACCACAATATAAATAAGATACGCTCCGAAGACTAATATGATCCAATAGATTTTCTAAGGCTGATGTAATAAGGTATTTCTAATGAGTGCGTGAGTATAAATATCACTAACGCACCTATCTTAACTTGGTTTTATATGTCTATTTATTGAACCAAACATCGATTGAGTTAAACAATCAAATACATAGAGGAAGAAGAATACTCTGCTTACTCCATACAAAAAAATTAAGTGAAAGCCATGGATTATATGCGAAATTCTTAAGACGAGTCATAACACATCGGCCTTTACAAATCATTTACTGAAATGAATTCATTAAAGAAACACTATAGTATTTATAAAACAACAAAGAATGAATGAGAGTACCTTAGCTTGTAGTTACGGCAAATGTTCCAACTGGAGACTAGTTATGATATTTAACATAAAATTTGGAGAAACAGAGTAGCGTAACTTTTGTAAGAACCTTTTTTTATAATTCCAGCTGAGTTGGTCTGATTTGACTATCTTTCACTTCTAATTTCACTGTTCGAATTCGCGAAATTTTTTCTACCTATTACATCGCTTAGGCTACGTCATAAAAAGTATTTTGTGTTTCTTCTATAGATATTTTCTTCGTCTCTGTCATAATACTTGGAACGTTTACAAAAAAATTTTCATATTGTGAATAGCTGCTGATAATCAAACAAAATGTCCCACGGTTTGTACTCCGTTCACGTCCAAGAAGACACGCGATCTGTGACATACTCTTTTTAGTATTGTGTAAACCGAATAAATTTTGGGAGCGGTGAAAAACTCGCTACTCACACTAGATGTGGTCAACATATTATAACGCTTCATCATGACATTAAAAGCTTGAGAAAGCTTAGGTCTTGATGACGTAGAAAACCACTTCCCTAAAAGATTTAAAACCTGCGGAGATATGACTTAATTCGGTTTCATTCTACCAAGTATATGGCGATAAAAAAATAAAATTACCCATACTCATAAATAAAATTCTAAATAATTTTATAATAGAAAGTCAAAAAGCATTTCAAACTGGGGTTGTAGTGATAAACTTGCGAAATACTTATGCATTTTGGTCACCGTGTAATACGAGAAAAATGACCTGACTTAGGTTCAATCCAATAGGAGCTGCTCACATACGAGTGAGCAACAAAATAGTACAAATAAAATATAACTAGTTATAAGTTTTAAAATGATTTACTCGTGTAAACTACCAAGTGGCAGAACGTGTTATGGTATTCAACTAAATTACGACTAACTAACAGAATGTGTAATTAGGTATCAGATAAATTAATATCTGACTTTTTTTAAATGACTAATTTGGGTAGGGTTCAAAATAGTACCAAATATATTTAAACGCAACTAATTAAAAGGAATTAGAGTACTTAACAAATGACAAGAGTGCTGACTTTTTTTATAGGGAATAGCGATAACTTCAGAAAAGAAAAAGTGATTAGTAAGAAGATATGGGGATTTACGTAATGTTGAATAGTGAAATGTAAGTTGCATCGTCGTATGATGTATGACATTATTACAAAAGCAGTCAAAGGAATCCAGTCACGTTCCAGATAAAGCTTAGCTATTTACAAAATGTTTAATCAGAATGATAAATGATCAGATAACTTCACTGACAAAAACAACAGATCATATATTACCTACGGCATCTACCGGTTTGTCAGATGCAGTGTCAGCTAAACCTCTAGCTGTTACTCGAATAAAGCAGACAATTTGACCATTAGGCCTTTTTATCGAACCCGAATTCAGTAGACCCGCCGATTCTACTCTCTTAATACAAGACTGTTAGAGCCAAGAATATTCCTCTGCATGATAGTGAACCATGTGAAAAATAATTTTCCATGTTTTCTACAATTCGGAATCTGAAATTGTTGAAGCAGTGTACCTCATTGAAAATCTAATGAAAACATCAAAATATCTCAACCTTTGTGCATTCGAATCCACACAGTTAAGTCTCCAAAATTCAGTACAACTAATTCATTGATTTTCATTCTGACGAAAAGCAAACAGGAAAATTCGTATATGGACAACCTTAACGAATTGAACAAAATCCGTCCGTCATTAAACCCATCAACTAAAATGATTGATTAAGAACGCTTGACTTTACCAGAATCTCGATGAATATATTCAAATGTACTGTAAAGAGGTTGTTTTTTGCATCTAAATCAATCTGCAAGTCTCAATTCCATTTGGCAGTCTATGAGTCACCATTCTACATTGAGAATGAAAACGAACTAAAAGTAATCACCACTAGCGCGATGAAACCTGGATCGAACCTACGAGACGAGGAATTTACACTAATCTGAATTTCCATTAAGAAAGATCCTCCTAAGTCGAACAACATAGTGGTAACCCTCATATGAGTATATTGAAATTCCTTTTGGTTTACAAATGAAACACAGTTTAAGTGAATAAAAAATTGGGTAATTCGTTACAGCAATCCAAAATCAGCATAGAAAAGAATTTCAAGCAGGTGACAGCATTCGTTAAACTGGTTGCAGAATATATTGGAAAAATGCCGATTGTGAACTACTTACACGGAATAGTAAACACTTTGAATTTCTACTTATTAAACTGCTCAACAAAAATGATCAATAACATTTAGATCTACATCAGACCATTAAATCTCAATTCCAGTGCTCGCCTGTGACTCATAATATTTAGTTATTTAGTTAGTGTATTAATGGCATTAATTTTATTACTTCATCAAATCGGCACTCTGATACTCACCTTTATTAATGTATTCTTGTTATTTAAGGATTACCCTGGCATATAACTATAACAAAGGAATTGGAGTTTAATCTCTAAGTTCGAATTGGATGCCATCAGTACTGAAAACATCCTAAAAAGAAAATCTCTTTACCGAGGGACCTGTTAGGAATGGGATCAAGCGTAAGATTTAGTGAACAAGCTAATTTTGGTGGTGGTAACACTTTCATTTATGTAATATTTATACATGGATTGATTAATCGGCTTACAGCCAATAACAAATTATTTAAGTTTGAGCCATCAATCAATGTAACGTTTATCTATTTAGAAATAAAAGTATTGAAACGATATGCGAATTTATTTCAACGCGAAGCAAGTCGTTAACTTCCCGTCATTTTCCCCGTCTGTTTTACATTTTATACATTGGTGTATGACTTTTTGAAAGAAAAGAATTGTGTTGCGAATAGACAGGGGAGATTCGATCGTGAGGGCTGTTGTTATTGTAGACAGTTTCAGTCAAAAAATAGCAGGTTCCTTTTTCTCATCGACCCGCAACACAGCCACATTGCTACTCACACTACGTGCTGTGGGTATGGTCAACATTGTTGCTAACGCTTAGTTTAATAATTGTAACTGCTCCTACTAATCGAATTCATTCAGCCTAAAATCAAGATACCTGTTACCTGAATTGACCACGCCACATAACATCTGTTTCTTCTAAGCGTACCTTAGAATTTATCCTTTTTTTAAAATATTTAACTTACTTGGCTAAAATGGACCAGATTTTTAGTCGACGTTCCTGCTGGAGAGTGAGCGATAATAAGTGGAAGACGTGTCTAAATTAAAAGTAACATAAAATCATCATGGTAAAGGGAGCAGAAACTAGAAAAAGTTTACAAATAAACACCGTTTCTAAACAAAGTACAGTTTTAAATAATGTTCCAAGATGACTTGACTTACAAAATTGTTTCGATACTCAAAGTACCATTCATGTGAAAAAGTTCTCAAAGTTCTGGGAACTAATCACACTGAATATTTCAAGTGTTATACACTTATCTTGGCACCATTTAAGCTGTTCATGATATCAGTATATTTAGAAGAAATAATAATGTTTACCGAGCGTGGAATAATTGATGTTTCATTTTCAAATGTGTTAACGCATTTCTAGTCAGATGAAGTAATTCTATGTTCACGTACAAAAACAACTAATGAATAAGATTAAATAGTCAATCACCTTTTACTATCAACTCATTAAACAGATAACATGATTTCCTGTCTGTTTTAATAGCTATTTAATCATTTAAATATTATGATTATAAAAAAGACAACAAAAATCAAATGGCAGATCATTTAAGATATTTAGTATTGTTTAGTTTCATATTACTTCAATTTCAGCTGTTAATTTATTTCTATACATTTTAGGATTACGCATAATTGCCCATCTGTTTACTTCAACAATGTATATAGTTCACATATGATTATCTCCTGTAGTGACTCATTTTTATCACGAGAACACGACTGGTTTAATGAAAACAATTATTATTATAACCAACTGTACCAGTGACTGTTTTAATGTGCTTTTGTTTAACTGTGCTAAAAAGCATCCATTATTCACACACTTTGATTGTGACCTCGCGCGAATTCGGTTACGCTCTGTAACCAAGCTTATATCCTGGCAAGATCTCGGTATTCTTTCGATACCACGAGATCGCCAGCAAATATATCTCGACTTGGTCCATTAACTGCCTTCTGATATTTGGCTTCCGAAGGATTTATTCGGCACGTATTCCTCTGTAGCGGTGTTCATAGTCTATCGCGACTCGACACCACGCTACACTCCTATCCATTTCAGCGAAAACTATTCTGATCAATTTGCTCTGTTCAGATAAAATATCATAATTTTATTTTACTGATACTATTGCATAACGAAATAACTTATCTACTATCAACAATTTTGAACTAAATTTTTAGAAAGTTAGTCCTACATAAAAAATACCGTTTCAAAGAATGAATAAGTTCTAAGTAATTGTAATAAGGATTAGGCAGATAAATTATGAAATTATTTAACTATAGTGAATTTTTTTAAATCACAAATGTTTTTACATTCTCACCAAATTAGTATTGAAGCCATCGTTTCCAGCAATACTATCAATAACGGACATGCACAAATTTGGGCCAAACCCGCAAAGATACTTTCCCAAAATCTTCATATAATGATCGGACGGAAGGACTTCACCACGTGTTAAATATTTTAAGACAAACTGAGCAATTATATAGTGATGAACTAGTGGGAGGAAAATGCCTTTCACATTTGCGAAATAGCCAACTGGGCCAAAGGCTATAAATAGATTAATATTTGATTGTAATTCTGGGTTGTCATCTAATGCCGTCATAGCGATAAGTGATCCCTTATGCAAAAAATAGAAAAAAACTACAAACCAGGAATGTAGTAAATGGAAAATTTCATATGAATATGTATAGGAAGGATGGTTATCAAATTAGGAACCGAAAGTTAAAATTGTCTACTGAAATTCTATACAAACTGTTTTAGCTAAGTTTTATTCTCTTATTTAACTCTAATAAATGTACATTATATTCGACGGGTTTACACTGACGTAATTAAGATTTGGAACGACGAAAATCGAGCATATATTTGAATTATAATGCACGTACTGGAATTAGTGGGAAAAGATTACAGATTACTCCTGATCATAGTCAATCTCTTTAATGTCTGAAAGCAGTTGTGAAATATCAACCTTATTCGATTAATGAAAAGGATCTGAGATTATTACTAGTTAGTACGAAACGGAGCATAACATTTTGCAGTATTTATCTAGGTACTTGTTTAGACGATTTTTACATTACCCTTAAAAATATTCCACCGGAATCTCCAAAAATACAGATATTCCTTGAATTTCTATTAGACTTAACTAAAATAATATAAAGAATAGTTTAAACAAAACGAAGTGTGCGAGATTCAATAGTTTCATTTGTCTGACCACTGGGTTTTGACATAGTTAACATAAATATTCTGTTTGTATTTGAAATTATATGCATTACAATGATTCGCACGACTATCTTCTTCGATAAACACTAAGTAAATTCTGAAAATCCCAGCCAAAATCCGAAGCCATGTAAGTTCCTGGTGTAACGATCGGATTATTCGAGGGATCATGAATAAATGCTGTTTTACCCTATAGCAAAGAATCTTTTATTCCTTAGGATGTAACACAGAAATAACTCGAGCGTGACAGCAATATTCCTTAAAATGAGTTAATAACTTACTGTAAACTTATTCCAGTCCATTTTACTTTTAAATGCTTTGTAAAGTTGAAGATAGTCTTTTAAATAAGATATCTTTTTAGCAATTTAGTGTATGAACCGGATACGAGCACATCAAAATAAAACTTATGATGAGCTTATGGTTATAACTTAAATATTCTTTAATAATACATATAAGTGTAGTCTCTAGTTGGACATGCTATACATAAGTGAATGTTTTGTTTAGATCACCTAGATCATAAGAGACGGAGGATCTTAAGATACCCCCAAACACCTTTGATATGCCTTGGCGTTCTATCGAGTACGTTCAGCAATTAACTGCAATCTGAAAAACAGTCTGTAACAGTGACAGGTCTTTCTAATAATCCAACTTTCATATTACATCATATTTATTGTTGGGTTGCATGACAGATGTGTTTGCTATTTTTAAACATCATCTGAACAAATATTTGCAATCTCAACATCACTTCTAATACAAGTTATCCGTCATGGCGGTTTTTTAATTTCGGGCATAACTCCAAGAACCGCCATGTTAAATGCAAGTGCTCCGTTTACACGGTATAGTTTTTCTGCGTTCTTGAATGTAATGGAACATAGGGTATTGAATTAACCGAATATTATTATACTCTATTTTTATGAATTACCATAAAATTTATGAGATTTTTTAAAATGTTTATCTGAAAATTAAGTAGGTTTATAAATGATTCCTTTGATAACCTCAATGATCCAAGATAACTTTCCTATAGATAATGAAAGGGAATAATGTTAGCATACTTTTTAACTTTCAAATAAACAAAGGTAAATGGTTTACCAGTTATTTTTCAGAAAAAGTATTCTCCCTCAATTTTCATGTTTCTTCACAAAAAATATGTCATCTACTAAATTGAAAATATCAAAGAGCAAGAGAACTACCAGCTCTTTACGACAATAAATAAACAGTTTCTAATTACTGAATATATAGTGTCTGCCTCTGTACATGAAGACTTATAGCGATTCATCTACTAATATTATCTTAGTGTAATATTGAATGCAATACACTTATTCACATGTATTCCTTTGTTCCGACAGCCAAACAACAAGAACTGAGGATGCAATTAAATAGGAAAAACACGTGAGATGTTCATAGATTATATTGTAAGCAAGCACAGTAAGCAGTCCAACTTGAATCAACATGAAGAGAATTCATCAGGTAAGGAAGTATATAAACAATACTTAATCGTTTCCAATACGTACAAACAGTACTGAAAATATACAGCAGTTACAAATTTAAGATATTTTCAGTAAAACATGTAATAGTACTACTAAAGACTACTGAGAAATTTCCATAGTTAAAAAACTGCCCTATTGTGTGATCGACTTATCAAATTATTTTAATTTAAAATACTGAAGCTAATCATAACAAAATATTAGGAATACAATCCCAAATACTGCAAACGTTTATGGGACGTAAGAGCATTAACAAATGAAAAACAATTTGTTCTCCTAGGTATTTGTCTATAATCGTTCTAACTGTAGTTTCATCTTTTCTTCATAATTACATAATACTGAGGAATCGGCACAATTGTTATGATGGATTAAACGTCTAAAGTGTTGCGATGTGTGGGAATTTCCATATTCCAAAAGCTTAACAGCTTACATGTGTTATACTTGTCAAATGCTTTACTAGAGTGAAATATTAGATATTGTAAAACAAATAAACATAACTGAGGGATGCTTTGACTAAGACACACAACCGAAGAATAAACCACTGAAATTGCTCGTTTATTTTTTTCGATATGATTTGTAGTTTTCCCTTGTACAAACATATTTGGGTGTTTTCTCATATCAAACATAATAACAAAATAAATCTACGTTACTGAGATTGAAGGTTTTTATAACTAGTTGCAGACATTAATTTAAATTAAGAGACATTTTATTCACTCCAGCAGTTGTCTTCATAGAAGCACTACTCGAAAATAATATAATATGTATTATCTGTTTATTTTAAGCAAGATTGTTAATGATTTGTACTTCTACAGTGAATTTAAAGCTGAAGATCAAAAGAAGAGGGCTTAAATTTATGCGTTGTCGTGAGTAAACGTAATGTTTATGCATCTGATGTAAATAGTGATGTTTAAAAATTGAAAAAATCTTTGAGTTTACTAAGTAGATATTAAATCACAAAAGGTGTACTATGTGCTTACCTGAGAAAATCCAATATAGCTTAGTTGTTTCATCTTAGTAACAGATATAATATATCTGATTGTAGCCGGAAAATCATAACCCGACATTTCTTGCCATGAAAAATCCCAATACTCTTTTTGACTTGAATCAAGATGCTTATGTTTTTTTGAATATGTATTGCCTCTGCTGTTTCCTAGCCATACATCATACCCATAATCAGCCAAAATATATCCTAAACTCTGATTTTTTAAATTCATCACCCATGCATGTGACGAGTCCAACAATCCATGTTGCAATAAAACAACTTTACGCTCTAAAATTGCAAAAAATAATGATGTTTCTGATCTTGGAAGTGAAACACCGTTAAAGATTTAAATTCAGCTCACAACACTTACTTTGATGAATTGATTGTTTTGTGTAAAGTCTAATTAAACACAGAATATATTGATCACTGGTAGTAATCTCATGTTCTTCGACTAGATAGCCTTGTCTCCGTATTATTTCACTCTTTACAAGCAAAATGTAAGTTACCCTTCAAAGTAAATACTTACAATATTCATATATATCTCCGGGTCACTTTTAATTTCGAATAGAGAATCAACTAGATGTAGATGAGAACACAAATATCCTATACATCCTATTAGGAACACAAAAATCATAATAGTTGTAGGTGAATACCTAGAAAAAGATTGGTGAATGCACTAAAATATATTTTACTTATATTTTCGTAGAAACAACACATATTTTTGTATAGATAACACTTAAACACAACAAAATGAGGCCAGATTTGTTAACTTTGTACTTAAACAACTCAAAAAGTAATATTTATCTAAATATTATATTCATTTTGAAATAACCTTTATTTTATGCGTGTACCGTGGTCTGACTAAAGTGATAAAAAAGTTTGCTTAGTACATCTAAAATTCGTAGGTAATTTTTTTTGCCAAGCTCAGTTTCAACGACTGTTTGTTTGATTTTTTTATGGACATTGATTACGAATTATTTTTATTAGTCAAGCAATTATTGTCGATAAGACAATATAATAGTAATAATAATAATAATAATAATAATTATTATTATTATTATTATTATTATATATACAAGGGGCATCGGCCTTGTGACTTCCTACGAATCTCGACTGTCATCATGAGGCTACACAATTCTTCCTTCGACCCCCAGGGGTTTAATTTGTTTACTCTGGTTAGTGTTATTCAAGCAAGATTTTTTTCTACGGGATGGGGTTGCCGGCCCCATGCCCAACCCTCCTCCTTTGTGTGTGCTTGGGATTGGCAGTAACTGCAGAAGAACTACAGGCGGAGCTATATACAGCTGAGAACTACAAAAATTTTAGAGTTTAGGACTGAGAAGTCAATTCAGTTTAAAGTATCCAAGATTTCATTGTCAAGAGAACCCTGAAGCTTCAGTTTTCACACCGAGTACGTTTTCTTCAGACGTTTTTGCCGGTCTAAACTATCCCTTTAGTCAATTTTACCATGATAAAAGCATCATCCATTAGAATTTGTTGTTAATTATCTAAGAAAGCATAAGAAACTTATAGTAAACTATTTACTAAAAGACGTGGAATACGTGCATAAATTGCTACAAGCTTTTCGAATAATTTGTCAAAACAAACAAAAAGAAATATCATACATTCTCAGCGGCTAATATTTATGGTAATTTTTTGGTGCGATGGACAAGGTTTCAACGAGTTGAAGTGGAAGTAACCAAGACATTTTTTTCCAATAACCCATGATATTCTAATCACATTCGAAGGAGTGATTATATAATATGTACAATAATTTAGATATGTTGCTAATGGCTCTTTAAGCTTATGATATTAGTGATCGTAATTTGAGCATGTTACTGATTAACTTATGTCAATTGATAGTCAGTTTAATTTAATTAAATCGAACTATTTGTCTCGGTGAATAAAACATAAAACTAAGTGTATTAGGGACTACACTTATATGTATTATTAAAGAATATTTAAGTTATAACCATAAGCTCATCATAAGTTTTATTTTGATGTGCTCGTATCCGGTTCATACACTAAATTGCTAAAAAGATATCTTATTTAAAAGACTATCTTCAACTTTACAAAGCATTTAAAAGTAAAATGGACTGGAATAAGTTTACAGTAAGTTATTAACTCATTTTAAGGAATATTGCTGTCACGCTCGAGTTATTTCTGTGTTACATCCTAAGGAATAAAAGATTCTTTGCTATAGGGTAAAACAGCATTTATTCATGATCCCTCGAATAATCCGATCGTTACACCAGGAACTTACATGGCTTCGGATTTTGGCTGGGATTTTCAGAATTTACTTAGTGTTTATCGAAGAAGATAGTCGTGCGAATCATTGTAATGCATATAATTTCAAATACAAACAGAATATTTATGTTAACTATGTCAAAACCCAGTGGTCAGACAAATGAAACTATTGAATCTCGCACACTTCGTTTTGTATATAAGGCCTTTGAGATGTCATCAAACTCATCAGGTACACGCTTTCTCAATAGATAATCCTGTCCTGTTCAGTGAATCGAAGGAGCACAACAATTATTGGTCCGTTTTAAGTATGATACGCGTGGGTATCATCGCACTGTAAGACTGGAGTTTCATTTTGAGGTAATCCTGTCTTCTAAGGAATATAGAAAGTACAAAGATAGAGTGAACAGCGAGAAGCTATTTTTTCCAGCATAGGAATAAAGTATCTTTCAGTTTGCTTCTGCCGATGTTTACAATTTTAGTTAGGAAGATAATGATCAGTCAAAACTTTGTGGTATTGCTCGAAAATATTATTGTCAAAATGTGAGTTCAGTTTGGTAAATTTACTTGTCTCGTCGCAATTACATTAATTAAAGACAAAAGTCACGGTTATTTTTTGTCTCATTACATCTGCTGAAACCGATATGATACCCGTTAGTGCATAGAAGAACTCAAATGAAAATTTTGAGATTCATAATCACTCCTAAACAAATGCATGCCTACGGTCCACAGAAGTGGAATTAATCGGTATAAGTCAACATACTTGTGTGTCTTGGCGGCTCTGCCAGATTGTAACTAGTATATATGTGGAAATAGTTTCACATCGTCTGCTTAGGATTAATTTGGTTTAAAGTTTTCATTGGAGCGTAGTAGGGATCATAACTATCAATTGTGGAAAGAAATATGTATTCGAATTAGCGTAGGATAGCAAATATGCGAACTTGAGTAAATACATAGATATTTGTATACTGGTTGTCAGTTACCAAAATGCTTAGACAACTAAAATGGTTTCCGTTTTGCTGACGTCCATGTAACTTTGACCAGCAGGGGGTTAAATCCTATGTTTATGTAGGATAATAAAGTGTCAAACAAACGATCCAACAGTACGCTGAATTTCCCCAAAAAGAATTACGCAACAAGTTTACATATAATTAGACCTGATAATACATAATTTGAAGTTACCTACCTCAGTTCACATAACCACCGCCGAAGTCTGAATCGAGAATCGTCAAAACTGAGACGAAGTATATGGACTGCCTTGATATTAAGTAATGAAAGCATTCGGCAACAGTAACCAGAAGTCAGTATGTGACTGTTATTCACAGGTAGAAGTCAATAAGAAACGACAGAATTCCTATTAATCTGAGATTTGGCATGTTAACATCTGAAAGGGTAGTGAATTCAGAATAGTAGAGCGTTCTAGGTTGGACCACTTGTCGGAAGCACATTATTAGGAAAGTGATGTGAACAGAAGTTGAGTTCCTTAATATTAAAACTAACGAGGTGAAACTTGTGGTCGCACTGCTTATATGGTCGCTTATGAAGTCAGACAATGTTTTGAAACTCCAGGAACCCTTTATCGCATCACTTAATTAGTGTAGTTTTTAAAATTAATTGATTTTAACTCATTTAAGGTCATTAATCTGATTTAGATTTAAAATATTTTTATTGGTTTTTAATGGAAGGATTTATAATTCTTTTGGGCATTAAATCAGCATTTACTAATTTATGCTGATGTTCTCTAGAAAAATTTGGTTCAAATTCTTTTGTACGTACGTTTCGACAATTTAAAGATAATTTGAAACACATTTAAACCTTGTTGAATGAATAGGACTTTATCAGGTTATTTTAATCCACTCAGTTTCACCTTTGTCGAAAATACTTTATTTTACAAAAAAACATAATATACATGCGGATCTGTCATATTCTCACTTCTGTATATTTATTTTTCGATATTGAAAGCCTCGATTTGGATGACGTAAATGAGACTGCAAATACAAAAATGGGGATTTAATAAACACCAAAAAAAAACCAAAACCATATCTAAATTAGGAATTGTAAATTCAGGTACACAGGAAAAATAAATATACAGAAGTGAGAATATGACAGAACCGCATGTATGTTTTTTTGTAAAATAAAGTATTTTCGACAAAGGTGAAACTGAGTGGATTAAAATAATCTCTTGGTCTTTATTATTTTCCTGGTTCGAGTCTTAAAGATTGAGAAACTCAGTGGCTAGAGACGGTTTCAAACATGGGTCAGAATTGAAGTAAGTAGCGATCCTGCCGTAACTCGTTATAAAAGTTAATAATTTCTCGAACTGGAAGGACTCTTCCTCGTTTTAATTCTCATTGGACTGCTTCTTCTATTATTACTATTATTGCTGTCTTACTCTCATACATTAATTACCATTAATAGTTGCTCCTCTCTTTTATTACTCTCACTTTCCTCTCTTCACAACCTCAATTTTGTTGTGGCGCATATATATTTTGGTGCCACTATACCAATGTTTATTAGTTCCAATAAAGCACCCTCCACTCTGAAGACAATTGTCTCATGAATTCATAGTCGGTAGTTAATTACTTTGATTGGCTATGTATGTAAAAATGGAAGGAACAATGCGTGCAATGATTGAGCTTCAGGAAACTCACTATTAAGAGGTCTTTCACGGTAAAATTAAAAAATTGTAACGCACATACATGTCTACATGATAATTGAATAGTGAAACTCCAGATGATCAGAAAATGTAGGGATATATTCCTACATTTTGGTGTAATACATTACGTCATACGAGTGGTAGACTGCATCCCGATCACAATCGAGTATAAAAGCTACTTTACAATTAATAAATGACTAGCTTTCTTGACACATTACTGGCCAAACAGAAGACCATACTGCATTGATTTACGTAACTTGAGTAAATGAATGATCTGGTAGAGGGTCCCAGAAGTTTCAGAACATTGTCTGACTTCATAAGCGACCATATAAGCAGTGCGACCACAAGTTTCACCTCGTTAGTTTTAATATTAAGGAACTCAACTTCTGTTCACATCACTTTCCTAATAAAGTGCTTCCGACAAGTGGTCCAACCTAGAACGCTCTACTATTCTGAATTCACTACCCTTTCAGATGTTAACATGCCAAATCTCAGATTAATAGGAATTCTGTTGTTTCTTATTGACTTCTACTTGTAATTAACAGCCAAGAAACATCTGGCCACAGATTTCTTTGCTTCATGATAGTTGTTCCTAAAGTCACTAATTTCTGGGAAGTCAGGCAGTTGGTTGGTCACTGGATTATGACCATAATAAGTGGTCGGAAGCATGTTTTTCGAGGATCGATCACCGTGATACATGGACATACGACCTCATTTTTCCACCGGCATTGTTT